CTTATCCCTTTAGTTTATTTCTGTTTATTATTTCTAAAGTATCTTGCAACTCTATATTTATCAATAAAAACAGCCCAGGAGGCAGTGAGATATTCCAGGAATCTTGTCAAATCATGGCAACCCCTAACCTTAATTCATGACTAATTCTTTTTGTTTTAGGCCAGGGCAAACCATGGTTTACAGGTTCTGATGAAATAGCAAACAGTGGTTTCTCATAAACAGGGACTGGGTGTTCCTAATTCCCATATGCAAGCATGATGAGTATTAATGGAGCAAGCTCTTGGTATTTATTTTTCTCACACTGCAGATAGTCTCCATGCCACTCTAATACCCTGCCAAGGACTTGGGGAAATGCATGAACTTGGCACTTCCACCTTAAAACCCAGAACATGTTCTTTTATATCCCTGTTTCTTGCTAAAAAGCAAATCCTAAAGTATTTAGGAAAAGTGAGCCTGCCACTTTAATGATTTGCCGGATTCTGTCTGGCACATACTCAAAATGGGCCCTGCATGGAGCTGTTGGGAGAAAACTGGGCATGGCCATAAGGAGCATGCAGGTAATAGTGCCTGAGAGATTAAGAGCTACATTGCTAAGATGTCACTGCTGATGCCACAGATGGTTATTTAGGGTCCTGTCTAAAATCTCTGGTCAGGGTGGCTTATTTCAAGTTTGTTTAGGCATATTGTCAAAAGCCTGATATCCTTTGCCTTCCAGAGTGTTCACATTACTGAGGATGGATTGCATCAGCTGAAAAAGAATAACTGGACATGAAATAAATGCATGCAATATATTGGAAAGACGGAAACTAACACCCGGAATTAGGATTTATTTGTTGGGGGACAGAGAGATCAAAAACATCTACTCCGATTGAACAGTGGCAAATTTATTTTTGAATGTCAGCTCTTCTTTTAGATGTGCGCTACTCTCTATAAGACCCATATAGTCTTTGATTTGCTTAGGTGAAAGTTTAATTTTCATCTCTTCTAACCATACCTCTCCATTCGTTGGCAAGTAAACTTAACTCTTTCTATGACTTGTTCGGGTAAGGGATTTGGTAATGACTAGAAAAATGGGATAAGAAGAGATGGTTTTCTTTCACAGACGGGAACTTTCTAAACATGAAAGCACCAGTCTAGCAAACTGTGTTTGAGTTTAAGAGGAATGTGAGTTAGGGGTTGTCACTAAATTGCTGTTTTGACTTCAGAGCAACTTCTCTGTAGTTAACCTTCTCTGGGCTCTTAGATGAAGAACGGCAGTTCAGAATTTGTGTATGATCATGGGATTCCTTGTGAGTAAATTCCTCCAACCCAGAGGAACAGAAAGAATGTCCTCAGCCTTAGGGACTTCATCTTCTTAGCTAAATCATCTTGAAATGTGAACCAGAGTTCAGAAGATCCTTTGAGCCTGTGAGCTTCTGAGGATGTCAGCAGAACTTTTGAGTAGATATTGATAGAATCCGAGCCTAAAACTAAAAATAGGGACAAAACTCATATGCTACCTCAAAGGCAAGCAGATGTCTTCTTCTGGCAGAGGTTTTTGTGGGCCAGAGTCCTTGTCATAATCAACCTGTTTGGTTTTAATGTGCCAGAAGACTGTTGGTTATTTTCATTCTTCCTCTGCAAACTTAAACTTGTAATATTTCTCAGAGTTAATAGGAAACAGGAGACCTCAGCTATGAGTGTGTCATTCCACATGTCCAGTATTGTCACCAAAGCTTGGGCTGCAGAAGGCACATTTGTACAACTGCTGCAATATCCATAGTGGTATCTTAGAATCTTTGAAATACAATTCAAGGGATAGCTTTTCCCTCTAATTTTAATCCATAAAGGTAAGATAAAAGCAATGTGATCTATAAATAGATATTACATTTCCTAGTTCCCCAATTCTGAAAAGAGACCCTAAGCAAGACTGGTTTTGGGTTCCCTAGCAAACACCTAATGCAGTGAGTAACAGTGCTGTGCAGATCATCAAGAAGGTTGCGTGTTTCTGCACTGCAAAAGCTTTCAATTTTGAGATGCTTTGAGTTTGGAATGGGTGGCCCTTTTCTTTATTTGCATCAGAAGGACTGTACATATAAAAAAGGGTCAAACACAGCTGCCATCTTAACTTTTTTGACCCTCTTTGTTGAAGCCCCTACACAACCATTACAAGCACCTCTTCAGTGCCGGTTTGAGAGCAATGACAATGGTTCTTTTCATTCTTTCTGGTTCAACGAGTGTTTGCAAAAGCCCAAAGAGTGTCTTCCACCCATTCAAATCAGCTACCTGATCGAAAGATGTGTCTGTACGTGCCAAGCATCCTGGGCAGAACCCTTTCTCAGCTTTGTCAAGCACCAGTTCAGGCAGGCAAAGGGACAGGCAGGGCTTCATTCAAGGCCAAACCAGCTGCTTTTTCTTTTTCTATTTTTGCCCCGATGAAAAGAATTGCATCACTTTTGCAGCAGAAAGGTCCTAGGTGAGGTGGATCCAGGCCACCTTGCGCAGGCCTGTTGGATGGCATGACCAGATCGCTGTGGAAGAAGTGTAATGGATTTTAGAACAAGGATTTGGGTAGGAGTTCAAGTGCCTTCGTCTCATGGCATGGCATTCTGCAAGGGAAAAATATCCTCAGGTGCCGTCTGACCAATTATAGCATTCTCCTTGCAGATCGTAATAACAACAATAATATTCATTTGCATACTGCTCTTCGTCTAATCGTCATAAGACTGTTTGCCACAATACAACCACAAGGCAGCCAACAAAACACTAAAACAATACGATCAAATCCTCTATTTCGTTAGAAGCAAACTCATTAAGCTCAGGGGGAAAAATGTATACTGATATACCTCCTTGTTGGAATTCGCCAACAGACTACCTGCACCAAGAACATCTTGCTTGGGTAAAGGTAACTCAGCCATCATTCATTGGTTGTACCACAAATAAGGCTGTGTTCACAGATTCAATGGATGCTCCATGATATACCAGGAGAGGCATTCTAACAAAAACTGATCATCCAAGCCCTTGAGATCTGGAGGTCAGCACATCAATACTTCGAAGTAGGCTTAGAAACCATTGGGCAGTCTGCACAGCTGATCAGAGAATAAGCATGATGTGGCTCCAGTGCCCACTACATCATGGCTGTGACATTCCACATTAACTGAAGGTGGCAAACCATCTTCACCAAGCAGAGGGCACTGCAGTCACCTAACCCAGAAGTTCCTGAGATGCCCACATGTCCACCTGAAGCTCCTAGTCCTGACCAGGTTCCTTAGGATTCCTAGATTCAGATGTTTATCACTTCATCCAGACTGACTTCCTCACTCCAGTTTGCAATAGCTCTCTTTCTTTAGCTCCTCCCCAAACTGTCAAAAACACGTTGAATTTTGAATTTAGGAAAACAGTTGCTCATCTCTATGCTGGATTCCCTAAGCTGAAGTCTTGCCCTGAGCTTCACCAATGCAAGAGTGATAGAGACATATGTGTTGAGTATTTTCTGTTTCTTCACTGTAACACATGAGCTATTTTAAAACCTGTCACTTGTGTTCAGACGTAAACAGTTTATTAAAAGTCTTAGCCTCATATGTTCTGCTTAAAATTTAAAAGATGTCTTCAGGTCCAGCATGAGGCATGCCATAAAACTAATTTGAGACAAGGATCTCCTTAAGTGCATTGAGTATATGGAAGTGTTTTTAATAGATTTCGGAAACAGTCAACATTGTGATGCTCTCTCCTGCCCTGCCTGTTCTCAAAATCTTACTCAGAATTCAGACTGTATTGACTGTCCTAATTATCCTATGTTTTCCTACCACCTCTTTCATCATTGTTCTTGCTTGCTAGCAAGTCAATTAAAGGGAGAGAGAATAATTCCACCATGCTCCAGTTCATGCATTGTACTGTTTTCTTAAGTAAGTTTACGTATTCTGGCTAAGCCAGAAATGCTGATTTATTTACTGCGTGAGCTGGATTCACACAACATGCCAAGGTGAAGCCAAAGAAAGCACTCGATGGCTTTGCATGATGTGTGAATCCAGCCAAGGTCTCTTGATAGGTAGTACAGAAAGGAAAAACCTCCATCCCCTTTGAGGCCAAGGATTTTTTCACATAGGAACCTGAATTACATTGGTAGGGTTCAGGAAACATTTTGAAGTTTCCAGGTATTAATTCATACCTTTTACCAAATCTCTGCAGAAAGAGAAAAACCAGACAGTTGAATACAGCAAAAATTCATATCTGAACAGAACATGAAATTAAAAGAGAGCTTTCAGATTGAAAAAAAAGTTTTACATATTTGACCAGATTCCTTCCTTCTGCTAGACCAGACATCTGCTCCCAAGATGTTTCTCTGTCTCTGCAGCTGACTTTCCTGAGATCTGGCTGCCCGTGGGGTGGTCCAACATATTTTGCTACTTGTGGCAAAAACCAAGATTGGGTTCTTTCTGGAACACAGAGATGCTGACTGGCAGGGATGGCCCAGAAGACCTCCAGCCTCAGTCCCTATTCCTGCCTGCTTGCTCACTCAGCATCTGGCTCGTCTTTCAGACAGCTGCAGCAGCAGCACCAGCCACAGCCTAATGCCCCCCCCCCCCTTTTGTTTTGTCCATCAAGGTCCTTTTGGTATAATTTGATATACCTTTCCTTTTTCTCTTCT